ATTCTGTGTCAACTTACCTACATGAATGAACCTACTTTTGATCACACCATCTCTCAAATAAGTAATACTTATGATCAAACAAATGGGAAGAGTGTATATACATTGTGGAAACTAAACAGAATTTAATTTCAATGCAATTGTTCAGGGGTTGAGAGAAAGAAACCTTATGCTTATTACAACTCACTGAAGTATGTTTTTTCCTCACTTGACAAGGAGTTTGCCAAAACAGATAATTATGGATACCCTAGAAACAGTTTGAAAGAACAGAGGCATCATCACAGAGGTGTTTTTTTTAGCTCTTTTTAGTTTCTTTCACATTCTATCCAACTTACTCAGAACTGACTGAATTTCATAACTGTGTAACAAGTAGATAGTACAGGGGAAAGGCAGTCATTTAGTACATTTTTCAATTTCAAACTATTTTCAGGATCTTGATGCTAATTAAAGGAACATGCAATTCTACTTTACTTCCCATGAAATATTAATATAGCACACACATGCATACAGACCAACAGAAAGGTTTCAGTTCAAACTGAGACTTGTGGCTGTGCAACTCTGTGTTGTGCTCCAGAAGAAGCAGCATCTATTATCAACAGGGAAGCACTATCTAGTACAAAGATCTCTGTACACACAGATGTGTTACTATGGGTTCACATCTACCACTTGCAGGATACCACGCTGGTGGGTTCAGAGATAAACCACATTTCTCTCCATACCAGTTTCTCTCAGTATTGCCATAATTGCAAGTTTCCTCATTAGTGTTCTGACACCCCAAGAAACTTTATTTCTATCTCCATTCTACAGACATGGCCTTATACAAGGCCAGGTTTCTCAGATACCCTTGAGCCTCAGGACATAGTCATTAGTAGTCTGTAGCTATAAGATCTGTTATGGGAGAAAATAAGGGTTAGATTTCTAAATATATTTGGGTATCTTGTGTTATAGATGGCAGGATTCTTTAAAAGCCTCTACAAATCTGATGCCCTCTGAAATAAGAAAAAAAGTCAAACAGAAGTTAGGCACAGAAAGGCTTGAAGAGAGGTTTCCTCCCTGCCTTCATAAGCATCTTTTCTTTCTTTTCCAAACAAGATGTGAAAATCCAAAATACAAAGGTGCCGTGTTTAAAGTCAGCAGAGAAATCTGTAGCCAGAAGGAAAACTGGGAGGTAGGAGCATATGCAAGACAACATATTTACATTTACCTCAGAAATTTTTGGATGAGCTATATAGAAAGTATACTACAGCTTAAAGAATGGAAGATAATAGCCTCTTAAAGAAACAACTTGCATGTATGGAACATGTTTTCTATAAAACAACTGCTGTATCTCAGGACAACTTTTGTTAATAAATTCTGACAACATCAAAGCTTAGCAGGTGAACTAATATGCATCTAAAGTGATAAATTATTAAATCTTCTCCCACAAAATAGCATTTGACTAAAATTATTTCAATATTAGTAGCCTTTAAAGCATTTTCATTAATTTAAAACTGTAATGTCCCTGGACAGTGACATATTTCCTATCTGCCAAAACACTTGCTACATACATCTAGTTTCCTACACACATAATAAAGAAATTTATTAGTCAACTTAGTTATTAATCCCTAGTTAAACTGGTTAAAATTTAATTTAGAGATGCACAGGAATAAAGGTAATGATTTTCCTCAGCCAACCATATATAATCATTTCCAATATACATATAAAAGTACAGATGACGGGATGCTACAGTACTACAAAAATATACATATTCAAGCTCAGATTCTCACTGTTATTAAGGAATATAAGGAATGAGCAGTATTCATGAGTTATGTCTAGCCAGACACAGAAGGCCAAGTGGCTTCCTTCAAAAATGGGGGAAAAGGGATGGGTGCACAAAGAGGAAAGAAACCATTAGGGACGTGGTATATTTAACACTGCACAAATATTCTTCCATTACAAAAAAAAAAAAAGGGGGGGAGAAACTGAAGAAAGAGAGAGGTAAAGCCACTTATTCTGGGCAAAGTGAAAGCTTTATAATGGAAACAAGCAAGCAAACAAACAAAAAAAAATATTAGTTAAGTATTTGTAGAAGAAAGAATGGACTGAATACAAAACATGATCCAGTCTCAAGAAAACAATCAACAGACTTAGTTTGATGTCATGATCCAACTACTCTACCACTGCCAGGGAGGAACAACTCACATTTGTCCTCACTTAAATGACTGACATGTCCTGATGATTATGAATGACACTTGGTTAGCCTACAGTATTTAACAAAACACTGGTTCCCAACATGTGGTCAGCAGTGTGATCCATAAGACTGAACTGCTTTATGAAGCTGTATCTCTGCAATATTTTCAATTAAAAATTAGTAATAGACCTCATCATGAAACCTGAGCAGCTGGGCAACCTCTACCATCAATAGCCAAGAGCTAATAAAAGATAAGATAGACAAATATAAAAAACCCCATAAATAAGATTCAAAAGGGGGATGGTAGGCTAACCAAAGTGAAACAGAAATTGTAATAAAGTTTAATATATGTCATTTGATATTAGAAAGGATTAGGGTAGAAAAGAGAGGAAAACAATCCAAAAAAGTATTGTTACAGATAGCAAAGATAGGAACATAGGCACAGCTCCAGAAACCTATGCTTTGGGAACTTAGGGTTGTAACAATAAGATGTTGACAGCAAAATGTCATTAAAGCAAAAATGCAAAATTTGTGGGCTTTACATTTATCTTCAGAAACAGTCTGGTCTCATGACAAATACACAAAAGAAGAAGATTTGTAATACAGGGTTTCAACATGGAATATGCCACAGACATTCCCTTGTTTCATAGCAGCCAAACAGCAGTTTACCATACCATCTTTACTGTCAAAAGGGGAATATAACATGGAATAGCAGCCAGTAAAGTTTATATCGCTAAAAACCAAAGCAAATCAGCTCTACAAATAGGGACCAAGCAATATGCTATATGTATTTCAATACTATAATTATATTTATAATGATATTGTGATGGAAGGGTTTGTGCCAGTTTCAAATTAGGAGAAAAGAGGATCATATAGTGCCCCATATTATTCTCTGTAATACAAAGAAAAAAAATTAGGCTTTACTGTCACATTCTAAGAGTATAATGGGAACACTCTTTTCAAAAAATTCAAATTTTTTTTTAAAATTCAAAATTTTCAAAAATTAGCAAGAATTTTTAACATACTTATATTTGAACTACTTTTTCTTACAAAAGAAAAAAAAAAACTATTTAGAGATTACTTGAGAAGGTAACAATTTTCAAATTCCTAGTTTATCATTTCTCCTCTGTGATACGGTCAATGCACAGCCCTGCAGGTAAAGTACCTAGCTGCTAAATTATTTCTCAGATCTATTACCTCATGCAACTAAAAATATAAGAAGTCCTGTAACTCTGAATGCACCATTAGTCACAGCAATCTTTCACTCTCCATAAACTGCTTTTTCTTGAAGGTAAAATATTTAGAACACTATTGTGCTACAGTTCTCTCACCTGTGGAGACTCCTTGCTCCCTAATTCAAAAATGAACCAGCATTTCTAGCACCAGAAGGAGTTTTACTGCACCAATTCCAGAGCCAAGGCTGCCTGCCTTCAAGCAGGTTTACCTCAGAGCAACTATCACAGCAGCCCGGTTTACAGAAATCATAGAACAAAAGACACAACACCCCCCATCTTCAAGTATCACATTAAGTGGTAATTTCAACAATAAAAGTTGTTTACAAGTTGTATAAGAGAGAAGCAATTAAAATGAGGTCAGTTCAAACTTAGATGGGAAAACTGTTGTAGTATCAGTTCCATGGCTCTACATAAGTAACTAGATTGGGGAGAGAAGGGAAAAAAATTTTAAAAAATTAGAAATTAGAAAAACAAACCCACATTTACTACTTCCCAGAATAGGTTTAAGAATAAATTTAACTTAAATAAATTTAAATTTAATAATAAGTAAATAAATATAAATAATACAATAATAATAAATATTATAATAAATAATAGTAATTAAATAAACTTAAATTTAACTTAAACTGCTTTCATTTTGGGTGCATTATAGCCCTTACTGTCTCTATAGTCTCAGTGTGAAAGAGGGGCAGAGATAATTAGTTAAAAAATAATTAGTATATTGTGCAGGAGCTTGTTTCAATGAGCTACAGTTTGTCAGTATCAGGTGACAATCTTCCCCAGGTCATCTCAACACACAGACAGTCAGGACAACTTTTCACAGGCCAGGACGTTCCAGAAGATCTCAGTGACCCAAATGGCTGGAGATGCCAACATATCATCTTTCTCAATGTGTCACAGTTACTCCAGATGCAAGTCAAGTATCTGCCTCCATGGGTGCAACTTGGAATCTTCTGCAGTAAACAATGTCTCACATTCCTTAGAAATTTGCAATAGAAATGCTGGACAAGTCATGTATGTGTGTGCATGCATCTGCATACACAGATCAGCAGTCAAACTTGCTCCTAAACTCTTTATGAATTCATCAGCATGAAAGACACTGTGGAATATCTCTCTGCTTTCTCTTACGGAAAAAGACATAGCTGCAACTCCCTGTAGGATTAGCACTGTAAAATGCTAGTGCAACTGGTTTTCCTGTTCTGATAAAACCACTGGCAGCTGGGATTGAAACCCACATTTTAATATCAAATACATGAAAAAAACCTTACATTAATTAAAAAAAGCTGTAACAGTAATTTAAGAACTAGTTTAATTGAAGATACTCTTCAATGATTATGATCATCTTAAAGAACCTGTGTATACCATCTTAAAAGAATTCACACAAAGAATGACTGAAGAATAATGGAGTTTATATTTCCACTTACTTTACATTTTTCTAAGTGTTCTATACCTAGTCAGTGCGTGTTTTCACCGATTAGGCAAGGAATATACTAAATTCTCCCCCACAAGTGACAGACTACTGCACAGATGAGTCCACTATAAATTAATTATGGTAGTTTCATTACAACAATTGAAAATTTAAAGACATTTCATCTCACCTCAATGGTGGGTGGATCTTCTCTTTTTTTCCTTATCCATGCTGAAAAAAAAATCAAATTGATTATTTAAAAGATCACAAGCAGTATTAAAACTCAAAATTATTATGAATTTGTACCAGAAAGTAAGTATTTATGACAAAATTACAATAGAATTCACCACAACCTGGCAAACCTGTCATTTCCCAAACTGTAGGCACAAGATGTTATCTTCTGTTTCAGTACTCAGTCTTCAGAGAAGGAAGGGGTCGGGGGATGGTGTCACCTCTGTGCAAACATCTTGGGCATGGTTTACATATTACTTTGGCTGTCAAAACAGAGCTTAAAAAGCAGGGCTTATGGCACAGGCTTATTGTTGAGCTTGAAAAACAGAGTAACAGAGTACACCCTAAGAAAATGACAAGCTGACTGATGGAAAGTAAGAACAGCCTTAGACCACTCTGAAGAAAAAGGATTCCTGTACATGCTTCAGACATTCTTGAAGCTGAAAACTTCTTTTATGTTACTACCAGGTAGAATTCCTTTATGGGTACGAAAGGTACAGACCCAGACCTGACTGAGAGACTGCGGAGCCTGGACTGAAACATATTGTGTGGTTCTGTTGGATTATCCACTTCCAGGAGGGGCAGGTACCATGACTGGGGGAAGGATCCCTCCATCTCAGTTAAATTATGCTGGAAAAGTACAGCGAGGAATGGACGAATAAAAGCGGTGGCAGTGACAATTGTCCTATAGCTCCTGTTTTCTGAACAAGATCCACAGACATTTGCCCACTCCCATCACTAACACCGCTGTTAGCTGGGACTGTCAGGAGGCAACAATCCAGACACTCCATCGCAGACACTGACAGGTCTCACTTTGTGCAGTCAATGAATTAAGAGAGAAAGCTCCAACTATTACAGACATTATTTAGAGGAATGATCTGACACCACTTTTTAGAAATATCACTACTGTAACATTTTTTCCCACCATTTTAATCCACACAATTGGTAGGTTCTTGGTTGGATACTTCAAAGACATTCATCTTCCCATATTTTTCAAATTAATTAGTAGCAGAATTCAAGTAGCCAGTAATGAACAGAATGACAAACATAAGGAAAGCCACTTCCAAGTGCTGAGATGCAGCAAAATGTTATTTCATACGTTTGTTTTGATAATTAAGATTTTTGTTACTATGCTTGAAAATTAGAGCAAAAATAACATTTTCCTATAACCCACTCAAATTCCTGGCTTCACCTGTTGTCATCTATAAAGTTTCAGAAATGCTCTAAGAAATAACTATTCCATATTTTAATTTTCTAATACCATCTGTGCTGTATTTTGACGGAAACCAGGGAATGATGTTTTAGGCAAGCCTAAGACACTAAAACCTAAACACAGTCGTAACATCATCTCACTTCTGAAAACGCAGTTACATAGAAGATGAAACACCATGGCTTCAGCAGCAGTATGCAACGGGTTTTAGGGAGACTAGCTTCCAATTAACATATGAACAAAGGGAAAAGGTACAATGCTACATGAAATGGTAGAACAGATTGGAATTTAGCCAGGATGTTTAATGGTAAAATACCTGTAAAGATATGAAGAAAGGTAATCCTTTTGGTTCTTGTCTATCAGATGCCACTTCCTGAAGATATGTACTTTTAAACGTCTTTCTCAAACTACTTTTCTTAAAACCATTCCCTGTCATCTCTTCTCAGCGCTCCTAACAAAAAATAGATCCAAATCTGTCATTGTGGAGAAGTGACAGAGCTATGAATAGTCAACATCACCCTTTCTCCAAGTTTTATGTCAGTGGAAAGAAAAACAGCCCAGTAAGGTAATTCAAAATACAACTAACTGACTTTTTTATTAAATCTATAGAACTACAGAACTTTTTGCATGTAGCTGTAGCACTTACAAACACTTAAATTTTACAAGGATTTCAAACTGCAAATTCTGGGAAGATGAGAGACTATACAGAGACTGACACTTCTCAGCTGGCAGCCTTGCATACACTATGCAAAAAACCAACCATGCTATTGAAGAAAATCTTAACAAAGCCTTTCCTCCTGACAGGAGTTACCTTTGTCCATACTTTGCAAGAGTTTCAGAATACTGAAATACTTAGCAACATCATCAAGAAAAGCAAATGTAGTAGAGATTTCAGATATAGCAAAGCACCTATACTAGACACTGATCAATAAAGGATACAGCTGGAGAAACAGAAGAAAGGAAAAATACTTGTTCAAAATGTCTCATAAAAAGTAAAGCTTTAAATCATCAAAATTTAACAGATTACTTTCAACAAAATATAAACTTCTACCTTACCATAACTTGCTTCTGACCTATAGAAGGATAGTACCACTGTTTTCAATTCCACAACTCTCAGCATGTAAAATCCGACTTACTTTTTTTCAAATTGCAGTATTTTCTTAAAACACCAGCTGCATTTTAATTTCAGATTATAATAACTGATCCCTAAAGAAAAACATTTAAATACTCCAAAAATTAAGTTGCAGTTAGAAAGTACTGCTCACATATAGACATTACAATAGATTTTCCTTCAAGATCACCTATGACTTTTAACAGTTATTTGACTGCTAGACAAGTCATGTATGTGTGTGCATGCATCTGCATACACAGATCAGCAGTCAAACTTGCTTCTAAACACTTTACAAGCTCATCAGCATGAAAGACACTGTGGAATATCTCTCTGCTTTCTCTTATGGAAAAAGACATAGCTGCAACTCCCTGTAGGATTAGCACTGTAAAATGCTAGTGCAACTGGCTTTCCTGTTTTGATGAAACAAATGATTTTCAGATGAATGGAATAATCCTAGTAAATTATTTGATCATTTAATTACGTACCTCGTTTAAAAAGCTGCAAACAAGACGGTGAAGGGTAACACAATCACATATGTGCTCTGACCAGAGGCTGTGAAATAAGGACCACTACACAATACATTTTCATTCATTAACTGAACTCACTATCAAAACTCAAAAGCAAAGAAACAAACCTTAGTTAGGAAGACTTTTCATATCAAACATTCCATAATAGAACTCTATCTATTTAAATACATAAATAATGCACACAGCTCTAACACTGTGCTCTTTTTTTCCAGTTATAACAACACTTGAAAGATGGTTTTATTGGAGCTATTAACCTATCTTTTTTCTAATAAATGTCAGGAGTATAAATATTTTTCAGCTTAACGCTACATAAAACTTGTTGGCAGAAATATTGATATTATTTTCTGAACTACTGCAAGTAATTTAATTGTAATATCTCTCATGAACTGCATAAAAAAGTCATTATTTAATGGAAGATGTCTTCATTGCCATGTAGCTGAGGGAGCAATATGGTATGAAAATTTACTAAAATTTTTTTATATCCATAAGATGAAGTTAGTTATATTTAACATTATCATATTCCTTTGTGCAAATCCACTTCTCAAATATTCTTCATAAAGCTCAAGATGCAATACAAGTTTAAAAGCAAAGAAAGCATCATCTGATTTCAATATATTTTAGCACACTGCAGTTTAGCATCTAATAATTTTATCAGTCTTTCAAAAGAAATACATTTACTAATAATTCACCTGACCACTCATTAATCTCTCGGGATAAGAATGGGAGGACACTAATATATATAATTCTCACCAGTTTTTATGTAGTTTTCTTTGAGACAGAAAGATTTTTAAAAGCCTTTCAAAGCTTTGATTTTTAAGTTATCAATAAAATTTTGAGCACCCAACACACAAAAAAAATCACCAACACCTCATAACTCAGGTATAGGAGAAATTAACGGTAGGGAAAAGGGAGAATGAAGGTGTACAAAAATATAACCATTTTCCTACTGAGTTAGCACTAGGCTTAACAAAATTCAAGTAAATAATATGTTGAAGTTTATATATTTCGCATTCTCTTTGGAAAACATATCTGTGTAGGCAGTTGAGTAAAGGAAAAGCTCTTGCACCTTTCTTTATGATCTGCATTATACCTTTGGTGAATGCACTTTTAAATTACTGAACAGCTTTATACCATACTCAAATATTTGTTGATGGAAACAATGTAGGTAGGTGTTTTATTACATTTTATTTGAATAACATATGCACACATGCATATAGGTAATTAAAAGTTGACTGTTATAGCTGGGAAATTTTTTTTACATGACATTCCCATTTCCCAGGCTAACAAAACAAAACGTCTTCACCATTGTCAGCCAAGATGTTTTAAACCTGGCAGAGAAGGTAACATGTATGTACTGAGTGTAACCGAAACATCTTCCCTGCACCCAAAGGCTTTGGCAAAATGAATCATTGCCTCCATTTAAAACTGCTGCTTCTAATTTTGTCTGGATGCACTCATTTTAATTCCACCTTTGTCTAAAAGAAATCTTGCATTCCTTTTAGCTGGACATTTTCTACCTTGGGACATTCGCATTCTTTCATCAGCACTCATTTGTATCCTTATTAGTATGCATGAAATTTTCATTGAATTTTAAGACTCCTACTGGCAGATAACACTCTGCAATGACCATAAAAGTAAGCATACAAATTATGACTCTCATGAATCACTAAATGTTACCAAGAAAAAGAGAGATTAGGTGTAGATGACAAACAAAATGCTGCATGAAGCATGCCATCTCTGTGCTATGTAAAATTACAGCTCTCCCCTCATGAGCACTATTGACATATCTTGAGGAGGTAAATTGCACATTCCTCAATGGGTGAACATTCAGAACTAAAATAAAGAAACATTATCTGTTGTGTGCATCCATACTTCCTGAGGAAAAATAGGTACTCACACTTTGAAGTAAAATATAACAGACTTCACCTAAACAAAACCAGGCAATATTTCTTTTATACATATGGATTGCATTCTAAATTTAAAACTATAGTACCAGAGGAAATACAGTTTTGGATTTTTGAAATTAATATTAATTGAATTTTATGTGTACAAAGAGCTAACACTAAGGATAACACAAGGAATTCTGTTTTAGTTTTACAAAAGGCTTAATGGACATTTCAGAACTTTTAATAAATTTCACAGGTCTGAGAACATAGATAATTCAATCCTGCAGAGCATTTAACACTAACATGTTTAGGCTAAAATTTCCCCTTAAGTCCTTCAGGAGTAAACCCTTGGCCTTGTATTCAAGTAAGCTCCCAGGACCCAGTACACCACCTTCTCCAAAGTCAAAGAAACAGCTTATACAGATTGAGCCTGTGATCTGGGTGACACTTTATAGCTTTCCATCCGGTCTCCTTTACCTTTATTATATGTTTAAAACTTGAACAAAGCACCAGAATCGGTTCCTTAGGTTACCAGCTGTACCAAACAGTTGAATGTCTTAGGTACAGAATGAGATTTAACTCTGCCCCCTTCCAATTTCTCTACAGCCTCTTCTCACTCCTTACCCTATCCTTTGTCCCTGGTTTTGTGAAAGTTCTCTGCAGACAAGTGATGCCTGTGTTTCCAGGAATGGAACTTTTATTAATTTTGGAGTCAAAAGGTTTCTTTTTCTGGTCCTACAGTTGCAGGGTAACAAAGAAAGGGAAATGATGCTGGGATGACTGCTTTTAAATGAGGTGGAAATTAAGAATTGTCCACAAGTAAAAAAACCTGAGTCCTGGCAGAACAAAGACAGCTCAAACAAGAACAAAAAGCAGCTCTCTACAGGTCCCAAGAAAAGGAGGAGATAAGGCAATAAACTCTACAGCACAGTCCTAAAAGTGAAAAGCCTGAAAGGGAGAGGAAGGAGAGCCAGCCAAAACTTAAGCAGAGGCCATGGAAGTCAAAGGAACATACACAGGATTTGGAGAGGAGCCCCTGGAGATGTGTGTGCCCAGCAGAGTCCAAGAGCAAAGAGAAAACAAAGAAATATGAAGTAAGATTCTAACCTTATATTCATCTTTTACTGTTCAGAGGAAATGGCAAGTATTTTAGAACTCCTTCAAGAGAAGGAGTCTTGAGGAAAGTCTAAAGTTATTTGCTGGAATGATCAGCATCCATAATAGCACAAATCATAATGCAAACACCCACAGAAAGAATGTACTGGGAAATTTTCAGGCATCTGGACAGAAGACACACAGTGAAAGTTCAGCACAGGTCCTGTGGGCCTGGGAAACTTCTAAACCAGTCTTAAAGAGGAAAAAAATGGGAGAGAAATGGAATGAACATTTTAGCAAAGAGTGTCTAAAAATCTTGAATTAAACTGTTCTTACTCAGATAACTTGTTTCTATACTAGTATTTGAACTACCCACTTTCCATTCCTTTACATTTTTAACTAATACAGATTTTTTTTGTTTTTACAGAAGGCAAAATAGAAGTAGTGATGAATTGAAATTCAGAGCATCCTACATCCCTCACACCCCACAATATGTAGCAAAGACATAATTGTTCTTTGAATAGCTTCTATACCCATAGCAGAAGTACTAGTTTTGGCTTTTTAAAATTCTACATCCACAAAACAAAAAAGTACAGGTTAGCCTTTTTACCGGAATTCCCATCTTTATCTCTCAGAAGCATACACTACACACCCATTCTGCTTAACAAATGCACCAGGGAAAAAAGCACGCACATATCTCTTCTTTCTAGAGAAATTCAGTGCTGTTGTGGTTGAGGAACAGCAGTCCCCATTTAGTTCTCCCACAAAAGCTCCCCAAACCAAGCTGCTGCCTGCTTGCTCCCTCTGCCCTCCTCTTCCACCCTTCCCCACTGAGGGTGGCCAGGGAGGAGGATGGGAGGCACAAAAAGGAAAGATCATAGGGTGAGATAACAATTTACTGGAAACAGCAATGAGATAAGAAAACATATATTAATATTAGTAATAAAAATAAAAGCATACAAAAGAGAGGGCAATTTACATGCAAAATGCTCACCAAGGATGATTTGAAATGATCACAGCCATTTTCCCAACCAGAGGCCACACCCTGTTTCTCTGAAGCCAGCATCCCCTTCCCCTACTCCAGGCAATAACCTGAGGTGGTATTGTGTAACACCTGGATTTTGGCCACACCCCCTCCTGGCGACTGCAAAAAATTAACTGTCCTTGGCCAAAATCAGGACAAGTACTTAAGAGGAAATTTGCAGAATTTGCAAACTGCAAATTTACCTTTAATCTGTGAATTCTTTGCATTTGCTGACAGTATCACAAACACAAAACTTCACAGTTACAAAGATGAGGAAGTTAAGCAATAAACCTATAAACATAGCTCATAAAAACAGGACTGGCCAGTTAATTGTTTCTTCTCTAAAACAAACCTGAACAGGATGCCTGGACTTGAACAGTGTGTTTCAGGTGTGGCAGCTGCAGCTTTGTAGGCAAGTCTGTATGCCCATGAAGGTATGTGATATTTGACTTCAAAGTCTTGTCACACACAACCTCCTAAAAAGCTGCAACCTTCCAGGCAACACACTGTCAGATCACATGGATTTGTGCTAAATTTCTGAAGAGAGATATAGCAGTGGCTTTTTAGTGCTTCACAGGTCCCAATACCACGAAGCAATGTGTTTGTACTGCAATTTGGTTGAACACTGCAGTCTAAGACCATTTGTGAAAGGATGATTAGCCTACACCCATCTGAGACAGTCTGACTGTATGCGTTGTGCTCCTGTTAATTCCAGCCAGGTGCAGACAGAGACTAGTGAATTGTCCTGGATGAGAATTCATTCACAGGAGAGCAGTTGCCTGAAGCTTCATATATGCTTCTCGGTGTCTGTGGTGCAGTACTTGCATGACAGTCACAGAGAGCTAAGATAAGCACTGATGACTTGAGCACTTTTGGATGAGGAAAAAGACCTTCAGATAGCTGGATAAACAGCATTCATCCATTCAAGCACTGGAAGACTTGGTTAAGACAAGCCTATCAAGCTCTCCTTCAGAAGATGGGTATCTTGGACTGAAAAAGAAGGAGAAACAACAGAGCAAGACTTGCCAACCCACTGTGGGTACTGCAGCAGTAGAAGACAGATGCTGTTGATACTGTGGTTTCACTAGCTGGCAAACACTGCCAAACTAGATGCCTTCAGCTCTTAATACTAGCCTCAGATGATTGCAGCAAAATTCCTAGGAATTAGTGTAATGACAATGATAAAATATAAGGTAATGTTTTCTATTTTTCTATTGATTCCATGAAGGGATGTAACGGGCCTGAAGTTTTCTCTTTGCTCAGTATCATCTCCCTCAGAGAAGAGCATCAAGCATAAAGGAAAGAGAATAAGATAAAGCAAGTATAAAGCAAGTATACTAAGGATTACGAACAATTTTTCTTCCACCAATACTTTTAATCTCTTACTGAACTCATGCAAACTTCCAGCAAGCAGAATATTCAATGATGAGGAATTGCAGAGCTTAAATACATACTGCTTAAAATCTGCTGGCTTTGAACCTACCAGTTTCTGGGAGATGCCTAGGTATTTTTCCTCTCCAAAAAGCATATTGAGTGCTGGGTAGCCTCCTTGTTAGTACATACTATAAAACAATAGTTTTCAGGGATTCCTTGCTTATGCTGCAGAGTTCTGGATTTTAAGTCACATTTAATCCCACACTTGGCTCAAGCACCTACCAACCTCGAAGACCAACATATAGTCCTTCTCTTGTTTCTCTCTTTCTCCAAGAGCTGATCAGCTAATCCTAAGGAAACGAGCTAATTTCCCTGAAATTTTTATTATATCCCAGATTTTCAGACAAGAATTTAATAACTAGTAGCAGTTGGACAAAATGGTTAATTAACAGGTTCTCCAACACTCTACTAGATTGCACAAGGGAGAGTATAGGAAACTGAATACACCATGAAAAAAACAGCCCTATCACTGTGCCACCAATATGTAGGTCAACCTATATATTAACACTGCACTAAAGGAATAATAAGGAAGTTTTGTGTTATTTAATGCATTTCATGCAGGTCATTCAGTCAGATTCTCCACGGGCACAAATATTCTCATATGTAATAGGAATACGACATTTCCACACAGGCTTTTATTAAGTATTGACTTCTCAAACAAAATTTATCCCATTTTTAAAGAACTTATTTTAAGAATTCATAATTGTTATCCAGTTAAATAAAAGTCCGCCTTATCCAAAAGCAAAGTTAACAAATTACTTGTTTACATAGCCAGGCTTCCCATTAAAAATACAGTCTACATTCAATGGCAAAATTATCCTGAAATAAAACCAAAATATTTACCTTCCCATTCTGCTGGAAAGTCACCAATTTGATAATGATATGCTTCATGATTTACTGTTTCTACAAATCTTCTTTCTGGTATAGTCTGCCCTATAGCAGGAAAAAAAAAAAAGAAAGAAAACCACATATATTTATATTATATATTTAATATATATAATTTTTATTTAACTATATATATAAGCATATATCAAATATTTAATTGTACTTACATGTATATATAATATGTGTATATATTATGTATTTCCATATAAATTTATAATTGCTGATCACCCAATCAGTTTGAAAGAACTGTACTTATTCGTGTGAGTGCAATGACATACAGGATAAAAATTAGATTAAAATACTGAGAAAATTATTACCATCTAGAAGTTAATTTGAAACTTTATATTTCAGTAGCTTCAATGAAAGTTTACGTGTTCTATTTCCAGGTTGACTTGTATTACAGATGATGAAAAACAGCACTCAAAGCTCACTGGTTAGGTTGGCAAAATAGTTAGGCCACATCACCTCCAATCACTGGCAACTGCCTTGTGCCTTTGAGATTTTTCACAACTGTCTATAAATGAAATATTTTCTTTGTTAAAAACTAAAAATCATTAGGTAGGAATCTAATATGGAACATTCAGTATACTGAAGGGGGAGACAGTATGGGGAACCTGAATCTACATCTCACATTCTGCTTCTATTACTGCCAAAGACGAATTAAACAGTTGGAACAACACAGCAGATTGACTGTCAGATATTATGCTACTGTATGGAAAAAGAGTATTTTAATTTGCTTTTTAAAATAGCAGGTGCTAGAAATATATGCAAGGTTCCCATCCCTCATAGGGAAAAACCTAACAATATTTCCTAGGCTTTTTCTACCAGATTTTTCTCTTCCTGGGGAGCTGATATGGAGAAACTTGACATTTTAAGGAAATATGAAGTATATCTGCATAAAACATTTTATTTCATTTCATTCATTCATTCATTCATTCATTCATTCATTCATTCATTCAGTATGCTTTCAACAAGTATTTCAACTGAAGTTGTTTCAAAACTGATACCAGTTGAGACTTGGAACCATTAGCAGCTAAACTCCACAGTATTATTCATTACTAAGTATTTAATACAGTAAAATAAGAACATGTATATAATCTGAAAATCCTTTTTTAAGATTCTTCTTGAGCTTTATATTTTATTTTTAAGCAATGCAACATTGTTATTCTTTCAAGATATTCCATCAGGAAAAGAATACTGTGCAGAATGACTTCATTGTCAACATTAAATATTTTAATCAGTGTTGGAAGTTATACAATTGATGCTTATTTCTTTTATAAGTATACAATTCCTATATGCTGATGAAATTAGTCTGTGCCTCGCTGTAACATAACTTTTTTCAACAATACCACGGATGATTTAATTTCTTATGCTGTTCATCTATAAAGCAAAACAAAACTACAGAATTATTTTCTTCCCATACAGAAGACTTCCAAAAAAGCTGAAGAGGTATCTAATCAGGGCTGATCCTATACCAGTCACAGAAAAAAACACTCCTCCAATCTTGTAAAGCTACTAGACTTTACAGTTAGAACAACATCTTTCAAAAATCTGTCCATAATCTGAGTATTACGCCATCTGAATAAATCGCCATTAGAAAGCGTAGTGAAGAACTGTTTTTTTCTCACTGCCGCCACAATTTGTGACTGGTATTATTTAACAAAATATACCACTTCTTATTCTGCAAGCTTTCATAAAACTCACCTAAAAATTAATCTTCCAGATCCCACAGTCAAATCACACTGTAGAGCCAAACTCAGAAATTATTTCCCAAATGTGTTATTTGGGAGTACTGATGTTGGCTTTTAAGCCATTCTGCATTTGTGATGCACACATGACACTAATTAACTTCAACTGTCTGATTTGCCTTGTCCCCTAAGTGTTTTTTGGCCAACCACCACTGACAAATAATTTACATAGGTTTTGTAGGGCAGATCGCACTGAGGCCTCTTTAGGTGTAATTAAAACATATTACAGTTTAGGGAAGTGTTTTTTCATACTAAAGATTGACTTTATTGACTGTTTTGCTTCCTATTAGTTCATTCCCATATTTTTAAAGAAATACTTAGGTCTTTGCTACAGCAATGCAAGAGACTTGTAAAAGCATACATATGAAACAATTAAAAATAGCACCAGAAGAACAGTTTTAACTTTAAATTTAACCTCATTTTCATGCGACCATTGGATGTTGGAAACACAGAAGAACCATTAATACTTCAAGTTGGGATTATATACATAACACAATATATCCAATTTTGTCTTAAAAAGCAGACCACCTTATAAATGAACAGAATTCACCATATATATGCAGAGGATATCAGATACAACATCATTTACACTAAACACCAAAGTAGCCAAGATTTGCAGTTTTGCAGTTTTCCAGACAGCAAAAGGGTCAAGAAGCCTAAGTAACTGAAATATCTTTCAGCAAATGATACAGTATTTACACATGGTACATTTATATACTTCTTACATATTTTCGCTAAACCTTTCCATTCCAGTCTTCCTGAAAACCAGTGCATCATGACTGAATTGAATTTGTATAAAAGTCCCAAAAGAGAAGTGTTTACCACAAGTTTTGTGGCCTGCTGGCATAAAAAGGGGATAGTCAAAGCCAGCAAAGGAAATACTCTGTGAAACATAAAGGGGTAGCCAATGGCATAATGAATCAGTTTCTAACTTTCTACAGCCTTATCCATAGACTAGGGAGCCTAGAAACCAGGTTGCACCTTCACAACAAAACCCATGGTTAAGAATAGATATGCACAGATGTTATAAAATTAATATTTTAATTTTTCAGTAACTTCTAGGGAAGTCTTTCAATGGGCAAAATATCCTAGTTAATCCACTGGAGTCACTAAATATTACATATATATATACATACATATATATGTATTTACATTTAGAAAAAACTATTGAAGAACCTTCCAGATAAAAATAATAATTAATTCAAAACTTGTGGTGCTCTATAACCAAATTATTACTATTCTGATACCAATTTCTAAAAAACAGTAAGTATACACACTGTTCTAAAGATCTTCAGCAACCCTAGATTGATTTTCACTGTTTACAGAACCATTATTAAGAAAAGATCTCCTGTTAACCCTCAAACAAGTCTGGACAATGTGTATGTACAGCTAAACAAATTATGGCACACATAATCAGTGAGAGCAGAAATAGGACCAGCAATAGGGAGCTGGATTTTTCTAGTACCTGAACTGAGCCACCTGAACACGAGCTCCTGCCAGGTATAAAACATCAGCATGTTTTGCAGTCAGCAGATGGAAATGGGATCTCCCTCTCACATGCTCACATTCAAACTGAATGAATATCAGATGTTCATGAGAATTCAGAACCAGGGCTCTTCTGGCTTGCTGATTGGCAACATCTGCATGCTAAGAGTCCATGGAAGAAACACAACACTAAGATTTTTATTTTTTTTTTAATGCACAGTCTGAACATGTAGCCTTTGTGAATTTAAGGCAAATGGCCTAAATTTCAGTTTGCACAGCAGCAGTCTAAATTCATGATGAAAGAAGCATTTTTAAAGCATACATTTTTACTGAAGTACTATGTACTTTGAAGAGATTAAATTGCACTTCACTCACTAACAGCCTATCATTTCCGTTTCAGTAACCCAAAATAAACTCAAAACAAAGGTTACTAAAATTTTTTTTCAGCAGTATCTTACAACACTCAAAGAACAGGTCACCCATTTTTTCCTGTTTGGAAACCACCAAATAAACTGTAGTATTTGCTAAATGTAAAGCAGTACTTAAATTACCAAAGCAAAACAACTGAGCAGTTCTTCATACAAAGCAGAGGAAAAGCTACTTCTCTAGAAGTAACAAACATAGCTTTACATATCTATAGGCTGCAGGAGCAGCCCATGACTGTCAGAACAAGATTAAGAGTTTTCATCTCCACTGAAGAAGGGAAAAAAGTTTGTTGTAAAAGACAACCCTTTTAAAGGTGAGTATTAATTTGTGAAAGCCACTATTCCTTTGCATAGATTTTTAGCTGAGGGAGTCTGTTCAGTGATGACTGTATTCATGTTATCTCATGGTCCTAACTCCAGTGTTTCTGCAATAACTATTTTCACCTTAGGAAAGATGTAAATATTTTAAAATACCATATTTTACCCAAATAATTATGGGGTTTTTTCCAAATTTAGATTTCTAGGAGGTTAATTAACTTTTGCTTAGTGACAAATTAATAACTTCCAACAGTTCATTATATTCAGTCACAAAATAAATAGTGTTCTGAAATACCAGTTAAAATTGAAATAAATATGAAATACCAAAGAAGTATTTGCACCTAACATCTATCACTCACAGATGTGACTATATTTTCTCCAATAATTAACACACTTGAAATAATCTAAAATGCTTTATGCTTTATAAAATCATAACAGAAACACATTTCAGTTTTTAAGAGCAGCAAGGCCACAGATGGTTCTGATTTCCATTAACCTGAAATGAACCAGATCAGTGATTTCCAGTTCTACAGCAATGCAAGATCAAGCAATATTACACTTACTAAGTGCTAACTCAACAAGTCAAAAAAAGATAAAAGAACCAGGTATTCATGGTCAAAAATTGTGTTTCAATTTTGCAATTCATATTTACATTTTAACAGCAATAATTTGGCTTTCCAGAGTTGTCTGCAAGTACTAATTTCTTCCCAAAGGAAGACATGTTTCTTCATTTTTACTGAAAGTTTGAAGCCAGGGAAATTGTTTCCATTTCTGGGAATATGTACTGCCAAAGAAAAAGACTTACATACCCTACAAACATCACAGTCCCTTTCACTTCCCAAAACAATTACCAGTTGACAGTCAGTAACTTCCTCTGGGATCAGTGCCCATGGAGTTTATGTATGTTCACACAAATCTTGTGTTTTGAAAACCTGCTGTGTCTTGGGCTGTGGCAGTTAAATTAAGCAACATTTGTTGGAGAAACAATTCCCTTCAAGGGACAAATCCCTCTGCTAAATATCCACTGCCATTGTAGCCCCTGAGCTCTCTTAATCTGGCAGCAGGACGCAGC